CCTTGGGCGCGTTCATTTTGGAGCTACCTCTGGGCGCTGCGTCGCGCCGAACGATCTTCGCCCAACGTTCTGATGCATCTGAGCGCAGGTGTATTGCTTGCGGAAAGAATGTCCGTGATTGTTTGCGGAATGCCAACGCCTCGGCAGAGTTGCATGATGCGCGGGCCCAGGCCTGCAGGTTGGCGATCCCGACTTCGGCTCCCTCGAAGCCCGATGGCCGAGGTTTGGGCGGCGGCGGGCCTCGCGCAGGACGAGCATTTCGCCCCCCTAACCGAGTAGAGGCCCCAAGCTGGCGGGGGCGCCCAGTGCCCGGGCGTTTGCTACGCATCACCTCTCCCAGGCTCGCAAAGAGCTTCGTGAATCAGAGATGCTGACAAGGCACGGGTTGAGGAAGTCCTTGCCCGTTTGGACGGCACGCAAGTCGCGCGGTGCACATCGCGCCAGGCAAGCAGGGGCCAAGTCTATCCTGCGCGCGCAGAGGATTCCGATACGTCGATGGCGGTGGCTTGTAAGTACCCACAGCTGACCCATGACCTTTGATTTGTTTTGTGGTTGATGGTTGTCACAGTCACATTCAGCTTGCTCTTCCTCGCAGAGCTCGCAGCGCCCGCGACTAAAGGTTGAGTCCTCGCGGTGGGCCCCGCAGCAGCTCCGCGCGGGTCCCTGCCTTTCGTCTCTTGCAACGCACGGGCGCGGATGTCCCTCTTCGGGGGGGTCTTTTCCCGTTTCTCCCTTCCCCCTCCTCGCTTCCGGTCCAGCAGCCTTTGGGGGTCGTGGGAGTTACCTCCCCGCGTCTCTCTGGGGTTGGGTCCGTTCCGCGCTTCTCTCCCCATTTTCTATCGTCGCGAATTGGCACCTCTCACCGCGGGGCTTAAAACAACTGCCCGAGGTGGCCAGAGTCCGGCCCTCGTCGACGGGGGCAGCCCATTCTTGGCGGGGCTGGCGCGCCCCTGATCGTTAAGAGCAGCCCATTTGGGGCGGGGGCGATACTTCTCTCTATCTCCTTTCTTCCTTTTGTTTCCTTCGCCGGGGGGGTGGGGGTCGGCGGCGCCGTCGGCGCCCCCGCTCCTCGGGGCAATTGAGCCTCGAGGAATCCAGCGGTTGAGCTCGCGTCGTTTGTCCTGCCCGCCCCGCAGGTGTGCGTCGAGAGAGGCGCGTCGACATGCTCAATCTCTCGCGCGCTCTCGCAATCCTGCTTTCCTTCTCTGTCGCGGCCGTCAGGTGCGTATCTTGAGCTACGCCGCGCTGCGCAGTGGGCAATCCAACTGGCGCCTATGCTATTGCGCCATCTTGTGCGCGCGTCAGATGCCCAATCTTCTCGCCCGGCAATGTCATGTTCATCTTCTGTTCGGTTCCGCCCCCCGTGCGTCGCGAGGGGTGCGCGCGCGTGGAAGATGTCTCAGGCCAGGCCGGCGGGGGCTTCTGCATAAGTCCTCTTCTCTCACCTCTCTGTGCGTGGCCCCCAAGGCGCACGCGTCTCTGTGGAGTGTCCTGCGGCCGCGTGCCCTGTGCAGGCGCCATCCCACGGGGGGTGGCATATGCTGATTGGCTGTCTTGCTCGCTCATCCGTTTCACTTGGGGAGAAGCTCTCTCGCGATGAGCGCAAGGCGCGCGTGGGCAAGATAGGCATCGCCCTCCTCTGCAAGCGCAGCAATGGCCAGATGTCTGCCGCGGCGCAGAATGCGATGAAAAGTAGCGCGCCCGCGCGTGGCAACGACGAGGACAAGGCGAAGGGGACAGGCAAGAACAATGAGAGGCGACAGTGCTGGAGGCACCTGGCCCGGCAGCCCTGCCCATTTGGGAAATGCTGTTGGGGCTGGGGCAACGCCCCTGGACACCCATGACCAGAAAGGCCGGCGTCCGGTGACTATGTCATCGGCGCCGGCCTGGGCAGACCTGAATCTGGCCGCTGCTGCCTATCCTCGATGATGGGGGCGCATCTATTTGCCACTCCCGCAGCTATTTGCGCTGGGCCAGGATTCCAAGCGCCGCCATTAGGCGCGGTGCCAGCCCTCGGGCGATTTTCGCGGGTGGGTGGTCGGTATGCGGGCGACCGCGTGATTGGGCGTGACAACAGTAGCCTGACCGTGCGGCAAAATTCGCTGCGCGGGGTGAAAGTTGATCTACGTAAAGCGTCTCCAGGCGGGCGGAATCGTGACGCTCTGGAGACAGGCCCTCGAACTATTGAGGAATGGGAGACACGCGTGGAGGGCTCTATCGACGCGAATGTCTGAACGAAAACGCGCCCTGGTCAGCGGAGAACGGAAGGCGCGCGTAGACCCGAGCACGCTTCATCGAGCCCCTTGGACTTTTCGACCGAAAAGAAACGCCTCAAGTTCAATTCCAAGGACACGGGGAAAGCCCGTCGAGTTCCACCCCCAGCGGGCTGAGAAGCGCGCGCGAAAGGCGGGGGCCCACGCGCAGCCAGCATTCGATGAAGCTGTGGCACTGGAACAAGAGTTCTGGCGCATGTGGGCCGTCTGGGAGCAACGGTCCGAGGGCGAGCTCAGCGGTGCCAGCAGTGGGCATGATGGCGACCTGGTTGCTGCTGCGTCTGCTAGACAACAACGGAAGATCACGAGGGATCGGACATCGGGCCCCGTTCGTCTTGAATCCATGAGGTTTATTGTCGATGCCGGCTGCGGTTCGAATCCGGTCTCCGTCAGGCGCTTGCAAGAGGCAGCGAGGGTTGACAGGATCTCTCCGCTGGCCGCCCCCATCGCCCTGGAACGGCGGGCGGCCAGTCCAGAGCCTTCGGCGCGATCGAGATCACCAGCGACAAACTAGACAAAGGGAGAACGGGGGCAATTGTCACGCCAGAAACCCCGGGCGTTACATCAGCAGGCGAGCTCTGCATGGACCGCGGTCGCAGTCTCCACTGGGCATCCGGCAGAGCGGCGCACCTACTGCTGCCGCGCGGGGGAAGTTTGGAACTTTCAGTCGAGGGCAAGATCCCCAACCGCACCGTGAATGGATGAGGGGCTTTGGGTCAGGTAGACGAGGGAGCTCCCGCCGGCTCGCCCGGGCTTGAGCGGTGCGCGCGCGTGGAGACCGGCGCGAGGTCTAGCCTGGGTGACCCTGGTACGCTGGGTGGCCCCCGCTCCAGGCACGCAGGCACCGCGCAACCCTTGAGTTGCGCTCGCGGAAGGTGAGGGCAGGAGACTCCTACCCGAATGGCAAGCTGGATTTCCAGACGGACGGCGCCGTGGGACTTCTGACCGCGGACAGCGCATTGGCGCCGCAATCTGATGTGCTCACCGACTCCCGCTATGAGCCCCACGAAGCAGCACTGCGATAGCGGACGAAGGCGGACACAGGTTGTTTTAGCAGCAGTACTACGAAGGCGCCACTACCAGGATGCAGCCATGCTGAAAGTGCACGGTGCCTACGCCAGGACGTGGGCAAGGCAATGCCTTGTCTCGCGATGGCGGTGTCTGCGCCAAGTGAAGAAGGAACCGCCGACGCGGCGCCTGAGGGGCCAGGAGCCGTGGAGGTTGTCGACGATCCTGGCGATGACCAAATTGCAGATGCAGGGCCTGAGGGGACGTCGAAGTACGAACGCCTTCAACTGGAGGCCGTCTCACGCCAGCACCTGCTCACTCACGTGCCGAAGAACCCGTTCTGCTCAACATGCCAGCGGTCGAACGCGTTGAGAACGCAACAAAGACAGAACCAACATAAGGCTTACAAGCAGATGCGACCATATTCGGAGCCGACGAAGTTTGGCGGCCTGAGCACCATGGGCCACTCGCCACCGCACATTTGGCGGCCCGAGATCGCCAAGGGTGGAGGCGCTGAGCGTGCGGGGCGAGGGCCGATCGCCGGGGGGCGGTGGAGCGGCTGGGGGCGTCTGCGTTGGAAGGCCCGAGTCCCTGCGCCAGTCCCCAGGATTCGGCACGCGAGGGATGTGTTTTGGCGCGGGCATTGCGGGAGTTTTGGGGCCCATTCCAAACAGGAGCAAGGGCCCCGTCAGGGTCCCAATAAATGACCAGGCCATGCCCGCCCAGCACTCGTGGGGAGTGGGGGGCTAAGGTGATTGGGACCCTGGCAGCGGGCAGGGTGCCGCCAGTCTACCGTACCTGGCCATACGAGCCATGTTTGGAGGGCTCGCGATTCTTTCGGAACGAGTTTTGTTCTAGTCGTTCGCCGTGCCTGTCTCGAGGAGTTCGCGGTGGCTTCCCGAACTAGAGGACAGCCGTATGCGGGGTGAGGTGGGGGGGTCGCCTTGCCGACGCCGGACGATCTAGAATGTAATTGTCTTTCGCCCGGTCCTTGACGTTTTAAGTAGATTCGTACGTCCTGCGCCGCTTATCTTGCGCTTAGATGATTGATTGCTTACCCGGTTTGATCGTGTGATCTCATATATGATCTTTCAGAGGAGAATGGAACAGTGACGCCGTTGATGTTTGTGTAGCGTCAACCAAGAAGACAACCATTTAGAGTTCGGGCATCGAGGAATTTGCGCCATTCGCATTTGTGCGGTTGCGCCTCCAGGGGGTCATCGTGGCCAGCACTGCGTCAATCCCGCGAGCCTTGTCAAGACGCACCCCTGAAGAGCCCTTGGGTTCGATCAGAGGAGGAGGTGGTGGAGGAGGATTACCAAGTTCGCTATATGCTGACGCGAAGGCCTGCTCAGCCCGGGTTCAAGGACGGGGGCGGCCATCGGAGAACACAGGAGACTATGCAACCGCAGTCATGTCACCATCCAGTAGCTGGCCGACTGCTGACCGCACCATAATTGAAGGCCTCGGCCCGCGGCCTCGGCCACGGCAGAAGACGGTCGGCGCGAGGGTGAGGGGCGAAGGCGAGGGGGGAAATAATAGGCGGAGGAGGGAGGCGAGGAGGGACGAACAGGTGGGAAGGAGGAGGGAGGATGAAACGGACGGTCAGGAAGGGAACGGCTCTATTTTTCCCTTCAGAGGAAGTTGTGGCCTTGGGCGCTCCATTGAGATATGGGGGATCATCATGCGGTTTGTTGTCTGCGCTGTGGCAACGCGCAGAACGACATTGACCCCATGATCTCCTCGTACAGGGACCAGTACAAGACCAAACTGGACCCTCCCCCCCTCCGCGCGGAATGATCGAACTTGGCACAGTGTGAACGGGAAGACAGACCAACAACGGGTCCTGCTCATGTTGAACAGGGCTCGCTGTCGATGCCGCCGCGGACGTTGTCCGCCTGGGGAAACGTCGCCTGCCCAACAGCGGCCGTTGTCGGCTTTTGGCCACGCCCTCTGTTGGACACGGTTTCCGTTCTTTCGGCCACCCATCCTCGCGTTTGCTGAGTATTTGGTGGCATATGGGCCGTCCCGCCACCGTGAGTGGGTCGTGGGGGCAGAGGCGCGTCTTTGGCGTCGCCGGACGTGTGTTTGTTTTCTTGGCGGGGAGCATGCATTGAGTAGTGCTCGGAGAATGGACGTTCGAGCGATGGCGAGGGTGTCGGACGCCTCTCGTGTCTTTTCGGGTGCCTCTCGGCGGTTTCTTGCGGGCCTCTCTGATGCCTCCTGGAGGCGTCTCGGGGGGCCTCTGGTCGCCTCGGGGGCCAGATTCGGGGGCCTCTGCGGCTCTCTCTCTCTCTCTCTCGCTGGCCCCCTCACGTGGGCCTTGTGGGCTGTATTGTGGCGACCTCGGGTCTTTCGGGCCGTCTTTGGCGCTCTGAGGTCTGAGATGTCAGAACACTCGCACTTTGCAATAACTCAGGGAGACACTTGGATGTTTGCCTCTAGAGGCCCTCTCGGGTGCCCCTTGGAGCGATATTGAGGCTCTCTTGGGCCGTCTCGGGGTCTCTTGGACCGTCTCCTTGCTCCGGCCCTCATGATACCCTCTCGCTCTTGGATCGTCTTGTGGCCCTCTTGAGACTTCTCGGGCGCCTTCTTCAGGCTCGCGGGCTTCGGGGGAAGAAACACGCGACGTCCGCCCGAGAGCGATTGGGAGCGCCCAGCAGCGCGTGGAGCCTGGGGTCGGCCCAAACGCATTTCCATGCAATACTTGGCTGGATATGAGCAGTTCAACGTCGGACCTTTGTGCTGAATGTGGGCTGCATGTCGACATGCTGTAGCCATTGGAAGAAAATCACGTTCTAGGCCTTCAGCTGCAGTGGGCTTCATGTGCCCCTTCAGAGGAAAGTAGCCCTGAGTCTATTCAACCGCAGTGGGGTGAATGATAGAATTTGTAATGTAGACCCCGGGCAACAGACTGGCTGCAGTGGGCTGAATGTCAGCCTCTTGCAGCCCCCCCCCCATACGAAAACCGTGCTCGATGCATACAGCCGCAGAGGGCCGAATACCAGCAACCCCCACGAAACAAACCGTGCTCAACGCACTCAGTTGCAGTGGGCTGACTGTCAGCCTTCTGCAGCCCCCGAAGAAGGAAACCGCGCTCGATGGCCCGATAGTTTCATCAATCCGTGGGCCCCAGAGGCCTCGACCGACCCCTCCCCCGGGGCAAGGGACAGTCCCCCGTGCCAGATCCTCTTTTGATGGCGATGGGCCTCCAAGGCCGCCTCCCACAGGCCGAAAGCGAGGGAAACATATATTTAGTTCTTCGAGCACAGAAGAACCCCATTACCTTAATAACACGATCAAGACGTAGGTAGCCTCACTGAGGTCCCCGTGCTCGCGTCAGGGATCATATTTCTGGGCGGTGTGGCCCGATATATCTGCAAAGCAGACCCCTATCCCTAATGTTTTTGGCATTCCTCCGTGATTTTATCCCTCTCAAGTTAGGGGCCCGTTTTGGGGGTTAACCATCAGTGATCGGAACACGGAGTCCGCCCAACGTTCTGGGCGCAGAGGACGCGGAGTCAGACTCCCGAGGTCATGATGCTTTCCCAACGTGGACCCCCACAGAGCTGGACTGGATCCATCCCCCAAGGACAGGCTTCTCGTCCCCAGTCGTCCTCTGACGGCCCGAGGGCCCCGGGCAGCAGAAATACCGGCGAGACGCCTCCCCGGGCGTCAGGGGGCGGGTGGCGGGGAGAAGACGGAGGCGGTCGGTAGGGCCGCGCCCAGCTCGCGCGCGCTCGATTGCGCGCCCCGGGAGGACCTCCTCCTCGGCTCAGGCTGCCCGCGGCGGCGGGCGTCCGGCTTGGTCTCGCCGCCGCCGTCGCCGAGGGCACCCCTCGGAGGGCCCTCGGAGGGCCTTCGGGACTCCAGAGGGGGCCCTCTGGCGGCATCCGAGGGCCTCCTGGGGGAGGGCCTCCGAGGGCCCTCCCCAGACCCCATCGAGTCGTGGAAAAATCTCTCGACGGCCTCCAGGGGCCCCGACCAGGCCCTGGTACCGTCAAACATTGCTCGGGATGAAAAACAATTGCCTTGGAGACGGGGTCGGGACTTCAGGGGACCGCGCATTGAACAAGTCAAGACATCGCATGTCTGGAACCCGACGGCCTCCGACTTTTGGAGGCCGTGGGAGTTCCTTCGGCAGGGCCTTTGGAGGCCTCCGAAGGCGGCCGGTGTCGTCGCAGTCTCTGCCACGCGGCGCTGTCGTTGCCGTCGTCGTCGGCGTTACCGTCGCTGTTGTCGTCGTCGTGCTGACGCCGCTCTCCTGGCTCCCGATCCTGTGCCGTCCTGGTCCCTCTCCTTCGTCTCACCCACTTCGCCCTCCTCATCCTCCTTGTCCTCCTTCTCCTGCCGCTCCTCTCTGTTCACTCGTCCTCCTCTGTCCGCGTCCTTCCTTCTCTTCCTCGTCGTTCGTTATCCTAGGCTTCCCCAGCACAGCGTCTGTAGAAGCTTGTATTGGTTATCAGCGCGGCCCGCGAATTTGCAAATGATCTTCCTGATCCCTCGTCACTCTCGCGCGTAATTAGTCCATTCCAGCTTGCAGTGGGGGAAAATAAGAGAAGAGAGGATCAACAGGATGGGGATGAGGATGAGGATGAGGATGAGGATGAGGATGAGGATGAGGATGAGGATGATGATGATGATGATGATGATGATGATGATGATGATGATGGTGATGATGATGGTGATGGCGATGATGATGATGATGAGGAGGAGGAGGAGGAGTTGGAAGAGGAGGAGGAGGAGAAGTAGAAGCAGAAGCACGAGCAGGAGCAGGACGAGGACGAGTAGAAGTCACGTAGGAGGACGTTGAGGAGCAGGAGCCACATAAAGTGGGAGAGGACGGGCAGGAGGAGGCGGGAGAGAAGTTGCAGGGAAGGCCAGTGCGAGAGGAGGGGTAGGAGCACACGCGGGATCGGGACCAGCAGGGGGAGCCAAAGAGGAAGAGGAGGAGGAAGAGGTGGAGGAGGATCAAGCCAGAACGATCTAGGACCATTAATCGTGGGACATCCCGATGAGTCGAGGTAGATCCAGAGAGATCTCCAGGGAGATCTGGGGCAGATCGTGGACGCGCCAGCGCGAGTGGAGACACATCAGAAGTCGTTGGGATCTTTCATGAGAGGAGGCGGTGAAGGGACAACGAGAGACGAGGGGGGGAGGAGCATGCAAGTCAGGTGTAGAGGAGGAGGAGGAGGAGGAGGAGGAAGAGGAGGAGGAGGAGCAGGAGGAGGACGAGGACGAGAAGGGGTGCTGGCAGGCTGGCGCCTTCCTGGAGGGCCCCAGAGGTGGGCCCCAGGAGGCCCAGCGGAGGGCGCCATCCAATGGGGCCGGAAGCGGCAAAATCGTGAGCAGAACGCACCCTGGGAGAGGTATGGGAAGTAGCGGTATCGGCACCTTCTGGTTTCTCTTGGGGTTGGGGCCGGATCGAAGACGATGTTTCGCCCCCCTGTGCCCTTGAGATTCAGCCCCAGAACACCGTTGTCCACAGCAGGTTCGTGTCGTGTCGACGCGCAATTGGTTTTCGTTTGTGCCGTCGCCGTGGGCGGCCTTGCTCGTCGTGGTCTATCGCTGTCACTGTGTCTGCCGCGTCGTCGCCGCCGCCTTCGCATCCGCTGCCGCCGTCGTCCCGTCGTCGTCCCCGTGGTCGTCGTGGTCGTCGTCGTCGTCGTCGTCGTCGTCGTCGTCGTCGTCGTCGTCGTCCCCCTCCCCCTGGTCATGCTGGATGCTGAAACCTTCGGCCCTTTGCGAATGTTTCGGAGTTTTCTGGATCTTTCGACTCCTCCTTGGTCTTCTTTTTTCACACTCGTCTTCTCAGGGTGCGTTTCGATCCGAGGATCCGATGTGGCCTGATGAGTGCGTAGTGCTGCTGTGTATCTTGGCGCAGCCGATCCGGTTCGATTCCGGTTCCGTGCCGATGCGGCCTGCGCCGACGCACAATTCGATTCGATCGCATTTTCCAATTCGACGTTGACCGATCTTAGTTGCTCCCCCTTCTCCTCCGTCCTGGTACGTTCTACCATCCCACCTCCATCCTCTTCCCGCTCTGATCCCCCATTGTCCCACTCCTGCTGCCTCTCCTCCTTGCTCCCCGTTCTCCTCCTGTCCCTCTTACTCCCCACTCTTCCTCCTGTCGCCACCTGTCCCCCTCCTCTCTCCTCTCGCCTCCCCATTTCTCGTCTCCGCCTCTTCCTCCCTCCTCATCCTTCCCCTCTCGTCTCCTGCTCTCCGTCCCCTCTCCACTCATTCCCCGCATGTTTATGTTCATTTCCTCGTTGGCGCCGAAACATGTGACCCGGCCAAGGCGCCAACGTGGGGTCAGCTTGAGCGTAGTTTTGTGCATCCGAGGGGGGCCTGGTGGCCCACCGTCTTCCGGCCGCATTGGCTGCTTGCGTTGTGGTGGTCTGGCGTCGCCCCGCTTACGGTAGTCTCGCGACGTGTCGACACGGCGGCGATTTCAGCGATAGTTTTCGAGGTTGTGCGCCACCAGTGGCCCAACATCTGCAGGTATATCCGGAAGAAGCCCGGATGACCCACACTGCGTCAGAAAACAACGCCGTCGTCATCGCGATACTTCTGCCGAAGTCGGAACGTAGTTCCCACACTTGCCCACTCTTCAGGGCACCGCAACTGCACGTGGACATTCTTTCCTTCAAACATGTTGATGCAATCCCCCCCCCTGTGTTTGGGCCGCCCCTTGGGCCTTGTGACATCGCACGCGACCCTAGGCCTACCCCCAGGTCTCCTCATCCTCGCTTATCCTCCTCTCTCCTCCTCCGCTCTTCTTCTCTTCACTTCTCTTTTCACCCCTCCTCAAGCTTCATCCCTCATTCTACCTCAGCATTCCTCTTCCCTCTCATCCGCAGACCTCCTTGTCACTCCCCCGCCCCCCTTCTCGCGAAGTGGACGAGCGAATCGATCCCCGCTGCCAGTGTTGGTTTGCGTCCGGAGGGTTCATGGGACCTGGCGGTCATTCCCGGGATGCGACGCCATGGGGGGGCAGTGTTCGGCGTCGCTTGTCCCTGCTTCACACCAGCAGCTGGCCGATGCACAGGCGAAGTGTGCCGGACTCATCAGTAGCATATTGGTTCAATTTCTTGCGAACTTGACGGTGCTTCCGCCCGTTAGGGTCCGCCCGCCCGACCCGACCCGACCCGCCCGTTAGGGTTCACGCGTGTCAAGTGTACACGCACCATACTTTAATGTCCCGCCCGCCCGACCCGACCCGCCTGTTAGGGTCCGCCCGACCCGACCCGACCTCTCGTTAGGGTCCGCCCGCCCGACCCGACCCGCCCGTTAGGGTTCGCGCGCGTCAAGTGTACACGCACCAGCCCGCCCGACCCGACCCGCCCGTTAGGGTCCGCCCGACCCGACCCGACCCGCCCGACCCGAGCCCGGGAGGTAGGCCTACCCCCTAGGCCTACCCCTAGGCCTACCCCCTAGGCCTACCCCTAGGCCTACCCCCTAGGCCTACCATTGGCCTACCCCCTAAGCCTACCCCCTAGGCCTACCCCCTAGGCCTACGTTAGGCCTACCCCTAGGCCTACCCCCTAGGCTTACCCTAGGCTTACCCCTAGGCCTACCCCCTAGGCCTACCCTAGGCCTACCCCTAGGCCTACCCCCTAGGCGTACCCTAGGCCTACCCCTAGGCCTACCCCCTAGGCCTACCCTAGGCCTACCCCTAGGCCTACCCTAGGCCTACCCCCCAGGCCTACCCCCAGGTCTCCTCATCCTCGCTTATCCTCCTCTCTCCTCCTCCGCTCTTCTTCTCTTCACTTCTCTTTTCACCCCTCCTCAAGCTTCATCCCTCATTCTACCTCAGCATTCCTCTTCCCTCTCATCCGCAGACCTCCTTGTCACTCCCCCGCCCCCCTTCTCGCGAAGTGGACGAGCGAACCGATCCCCGCTGCCAGTGTTGGTTTGCGTCCGGAGGGTTCATGGGACCTGGCGGTCATCCCCGGGATGCGACGCAAGTGTGGGGCAGTGTTCGGCGTCGCTTGTCCCTGCTTCACACCAGCAGCTAGCCGATGCACAGGCGAAGTGTGCCAGACTCATCAGTAGCATATTGGTTCAATTTCTTGCGAACTTGACAGTACTTCCGCCCGTTAGGGTCCGCCCGCCCGACCCGACCCGACCCGCCCGTTAGGGTTCGCGCGTGTCAAGTGTACACGCACCATAATTTAATGTCCCGCCCGCCCGACCCGACCCGCCCGTTAGGGTCCGCCCGACCCGACCCGACCCGCCCGTTAGGGTCCGCCCGCCCGACCCGACCCGCCCGTTAAGGCTCACGCACCAGCCCGCCCGACCCGACCCGCCCGTTTGGGTCCGCCCGACCCGACCCGACCCCCCCCGTTAGGGTCCGCCCGCCCGCCCGACCCGACCCGACCGCCCGTTAGGGTTCACGCGTGCCCGACCCGCCCGTTACGGTCCGCCCGGCCCGACCCGACCCGCCCCGCCCGTTAGGGTCCGCCCGCCCGCCCGACCCGACCCGCCCGTTAGGGTAACGCGCGTCAAGTGTACACGCACCAGCCCCCCCGCCCGACCCGACCCGACCCGCCCGTTAGGGTCCGCCCGCCCACCCCCCGCCCGTTAGGGTTTCCGCCCGACCCGACCGACCCGCCCGTTAGGGTTCACGCGTGTCAAGTGTACACGCACCATACTTTAATGTCCCCCGCCCGACCCGACCCGCCCGTTAGGGTCCGCCCGACCCGACCCGACCCGCCCGTTAGGGTCCGCCCGCCCGACCCGACCCGACCCGCCCGTTAGGGTTCACGCGTGTCCGACCCGAGGGTCCGCCCGCCCGACCCGACCCGACCCGCCCGGGACAGTGGTGGTGGCGGTGGGGAAGGTGGTGGAGACGGCGGGGGCGGCGGTACGTGGGGACGAAGGACCCGACCCGACGTGCCCGTAAAGGTTCACGCGTGTCAAGTGTACACGCACCATACTTTAATGTCCCGCCCGCCCGACCCGACCCGCCCGTTAGGGTCCGCCCGACCCGACCCGCCCTTAGGGTCCGCCCGCCCGACCCGACCCGACCCGCCCGTTAGGGTTCACGCGTGTCAAGTGCACACGCACCAGCCCTCCCGACCCGACCCGCCCGTTAGGGTTTGCCCGACCCGTCCCGACCCGCCCCGTTAGGGTTCGACCCGACCCGCCCGGGACGGCTCCCGCGTGTCAAGTGTACACGCACCATAATTTAATGTCCCGCCGCCCCGACCCGACCCGCCCGTTAGGGTCCGCCCGACCCGACCCGCCCGTTAGGGTCCGCCCCCCCGACCCGACCCGCCACAGGGTTCACGCGTGTCAAGTGCACGCGCACCATATTTTAATGTCCCGCCCGCCCGACCCGACCGCCCGTTTAGGTCCCGACCCGCCCGTTACGGTCCGCCCGGCCCGACCCGACCCTCCCGTTAGGGCCCGCCCGCCCGACCCGACCCGACCCGCCAGCGAGGGTTCACGCGTGTCAAGTGTACACGCACCAGCCCTCCCGACCCGACCCGCCCGTTAGGGTCCGCCCGACCCGACCCGCCCGTAGGGTCCGCCCGCCCGACCCGACCCGACCCGCCCGGGACGGTGGTGGCGGCGGGGAAGGCGGCGGAGACGGCGGGGGCGGCGGTGGGGACGAAGGACCCGACCCGACCCGCCCGTTAGGGCTCACGCGCGTCAAGTGTACACGCACCATACTTTAATGTCCCGCCCGCCCGACCCGACCCGCCCGTTAGGGCCCGCCCGACCCGTCCCGCCCGTCAGGGTCCGCCCGCCCGACCCGACCCGCCCGTTAGGGTTCACGCGTGTCATTACATCCCGCCCGACCCCCGACCCGCCCGTTAGGGTCCGCCCGATCCGACCCGACCCGACCCGCCCGTTAGGGTTCACGCTGTCAAGTGTACACGCACCATACTTTAATGTCGTCCGCCCGACCCGACCCGCCCGTTAGGGTCCGCCCGACCCGACCCGCCCGTTGGGGTCCGCCCGCCCGACCCGACCCGAAGGTTCACGCGTGTCGTACACGCACCATACTTTAATGTCCCGCCCGCCCGACCCGACCCGCCCGTTAGGGTCCGCCCGATCCGACCCGACCCGCCCGTTAGGGTCCGCCCGCCCGACCCGACCCGACCCGCCCGTTAGGGTTCACGCGTGTCAAGTGTACACGCACCATGTCATGTTTTAATGTTCCGCTCGCCCGACCCGACCCCCCCGTCAGGGTCCGCCCGGCCCGACCCGACCCGCCCGTGAGGGCCCGCACGACCCGCCCCGACCCGCCCGTTAGGGTCCGCCCGCCCGACCCGACCCGACCCGCCCGTGAGGGCTCATGCGTGTCAAGTGTACACGCACCATACTTTAATGTCCCGCCCGACCCGACCCGACCCGCCCGTTAGGGTCCGGGACTGGTCGGGTCGGGCGGGTCCCCTAGGGTAGGCCTAGGGGGTAGGCCTAGGGGTAGGCCTACGGTAGACCTAGGGGGTAGGCTTAGGGGTAGGCCCAGGGGGTAGGCCTAGGGGTAGGCCTAGGGTAGGCTTAGGGGGTAGGCCTAGGGGTAGGCCTAGGGTAGGCCTACCCTCCGGGTTCTATATGCTTAGTCAACCTTAGGTCATTGGGTAAGTCTTATCCTGGGTCTACCCTAAGGCCTGGGGTAGGGCCTACCCTAGGCCACCATAGGGCCTTGGGTAGGGCCTAGGGTAGGCTACCCTAGGGCCTTGGGTAGGGCCTACCCTAGGCTACCCTAGGCCCTTAGGTAGGGCCTAGGGTAGGCTACCCCCCCGGGGGGCACTAATATCCAGATTGCCTCACGCAGGTCCTGGCGCCCCTGAAACATTGTTCCAGGGATCGGGCCTAGTATGCAAGAACATTTGCAGTACTCGTGCGGGCACCGCCAAGGTTCAGTGAGAGCGTTCCGGGAAGTTCTCCGCTGGTTCTGGAGCGCTCTTTGGAGCGGGCTGGGGGTCTGAGGTTCCCCAGCAGTGGTTCTGGTCAGCAGAACACAGGGGGAAGAGGCTCGAGATCCTGGAATGTCCGAAAACTGCCCCCACTTCCGGTTTTCGCGTGGCCCGACGCGCTCGCGCCCACCCCCCCCTCCCCGTTGCCGAGAGAGGCATGGGCAGCACCCTCCACGCGGCCGGGTTCGCGAGCGGCGCCGGCTGACGAGACGGCCCCCCTGGGAAGGAGAGAGGGAGGGAGGGAAGAGGAGGGAGGAGGGAGGAGGGACGAGGAGGAGGAGGAGGAAGCAACTACCTCATTGAAGACCAAGGAGGACGAGGAGGAGGAGGAGGAGGAGTCAAGCAGTGGCGAAGCGTCCCCGCTCGCCTATGGTATGGGGCTACCAGAGACTGCTATAAGAAACCTTTGTGGTGTGCACGAAATGTTCTTAGAGCAGTTCTTGCTGAGGCTGCCGTCCTTTTACACATCGGGCGTATAGTCTCAGAACCTTGTTTCGTTATTAGAACAAGTTTGGGTTCTTAGATTATGTCATGGTCGGCCTATAGGGATGCTGGGACGGTCGGTCCTTGCTCAAAGGCGTAGGAGGAGGAGGAGGAGGAGATCTTTTCTCTATCTTCCTTCGTTATTTTGAACCTTGAGCGCGTGAGGCTTATTTGTCTCTCTCTCTCTCTCAGAGTTGTATATGTGCAGTCAGTTCGGTGACATCGGCTTGCCGTGGTTGGTGTTGTTAGTGTTTGGCACAACCTTTGGTCCCTTTCCCGCCAATGCCTAGTCAAAAACCTCCCTGAAGCCCCTCCGAGGGTGCCACACTCTGCCGCCGGCCCCCCCCATCCCCCTGGGACCCCTGAAGGTCCGGAACAGCCCCGGGGCGCGCGCTCGGCCTGCGAGCCAGAGCGCCCCTGCAGCGGCCCGACGAGCATTCCGCGCGAGCCGGCGCGAGCGGGAGCGATTCCGCAGCGGCCCGACAAGGCGCTCCACGGATTTGCCACATTTCTGAAATTCGGTGGCACCCCTCACGCAGATCGGCGGTGTCAACAACAACAGCAACAACAACACGTATCAACACAGCAGTGACAACAACAACACCGATCATGTTGTTGTTGTTGTTGTTGTTGCTGTTGTTGTTATTGTTGTTGTTGTTGGTGTTGGTGTTGGTGTTGGTGTTGTTGGTGTTGTTGTTGTTGTTGCTGTTGTTGTTGTGTTGTTGTTGTTGTTTTTGTTGATGCAGTTGATGTTGTTGGTGTTGTTGGTGTTGTTGTTGTTGTTGTTGTCGTCGTTGTTGATGCTTTTGTTGATGCAGTTGGTGTTGTGGTTGTTGTTGCCGTTGTTGTTGTGGTTGTGGTTGTGACTGTGGTTGTTGTGAGGAGGAGGAGGAGGAGGAGGAGAGGAGGAGGAGGAGGAGGAGGAGGGGAGGAGGAGGAGGAGGAGGAGGAGGAGGAGGAGGAGGAGGAGGGGGGGAGGGGGGAGGGAGGAGAGGGGGAGGGAGAGTAGAAGGGAGGAGGGAGGAGGGAGGACGGAGGACGGAGGGAGGAGGGAGAAGGACGGAGGACGGAGGACGGAGGACGGAGGACGGAGGACGGAGGACGGAGGACGGAAGAGGTAGGAGGGAGGAGGGAGAAGGGAAGAGGGAGGAGGGAGGAGGGAAAAGGGAAGAGGGAGGAGGGAGGAGGGAGGAGGAAGAGGAGGAGGAGGAGGAGGAGGAGGAGGAGGACGAGGAGGACGAGGAGGACGAGGAGGAGGAGCAGGAGGAGGAGGAGGAGGAGGGAAGAGGAGGAAGAAGAAGCCACTGCCACGCTCCAGGAAACACGATTTGAAGAGATGTGCGTTGGGTTGCGGGCGCAGCTTCGGGGCCGCATCGGAGCCTTCCTGGGACTGCCTGGCCACGGGGCCATACTTTCGCAGCGGAGTCCCTCCACCCTCCGCCGTTAATAGCGGAAAACAGCCAACAACGCAGGGACACTTGCTACGACTGCACCTGCCGCGTTGCTGGCCAACAATATGCGGCTGAGGCGTATGGAGAGAGCCACCGACAGGAACGCGCAGCGGCTTCAAGCTCCACGTACCAACATGCCATATGGGCGAGACACCCGCCCGCGCAGCCAGCGCAGGACGGATAGCCGGGCGAGCGCGCGCAGCGGCATCAGTGCGATATCCGAGCGCGACGTGCTACACGCTGCGCTGATGGTGAACGCAGATGGCCAGATAGGCACGCGCGCTGACGAGGATACGTTCACGAGCATGCCGCTCGCATCTGCACCGCGCCCGCACATGCACGACGAGTGTCCTACGGCCTGGGGTTTCGAGAAGAGCCCATTGCGGAGGAGGAGGCCCGCGGATACATGAACGTCGTCACGTCTCTGAAAAAGAACGACTGCGCGTTGGAGCAGAGGCGCCGCAAGGGTATGCATGGTACGACGCTGTCTGAGGTGCCAGGAATATCCGGAGAACGCCATGAAATGACTGGCCCTGGCCGTGAGCAGTGGGACCATGGCGGATGGAATGCTGACAATTCTTTTGGACTCAGCAACATCAACACCATTGGTTTGAAGCGGCACAGACATTTGAACGCGTATCCCGCTCCAATGGACACGATATCAGGAAGCTGAACCTGACGGAGAGGCTCTACGTGTCGGGAGTGGGACGTGGTGCCGCTGCATGCGACAACTCTTTGCACTCCAGAATCGCGCGCGAAGAAAAATACCCGGCAGGGGCACCTGCAGTGCCGAGACTTGAGCCCCCTTCAGCTAACGTGGCCGAGGGCTCAGGGGAAAATATCCCTGCTTTCCTGTGTCTGAGGAGTACGTCTAACAGGAGGACTATCCTGATCCTGGAGCAGCAGGGGCACGGGAAGATGCTCATCCCCAGCTCTGATATGCACAAGCTTCTCCTTGGGAAAGGTGCCGTAGTTTTTGATTTAATGAAAGCGCCTTCAGGGCGCCCGGCGCTAGAGGTCGACGAGTGCGTGGCCACAATTAAGAACGAAAGGTCGATGTCGTTTACTACTGCGGCCAACCCTCACTGCGAGGATGCCCCGCTGCTCGTCACAGAGGCAGCTGGCAAAGGGCCATTTGCGGGGCAACCGGCGGCAACCGGCTCTGAGTCGTGCGGTTGCACATGCCATGAGCGATGCCCATGCATATGGCGTCACAGGATACCGAGGGCATCAGCTTCTCCGTTAACGAAGAGACGCTTGCATTCACGATACAGTCTTTGGCGAATAACGCCTTGAAGACCTGGCATCGCAGGAATGCGTCCTTCGGGGCTATCCCCGCACCGGCCGACCAGGACTTCGCCCTGCGGAACTTTCATGCGAAGGCGTATCAGGCCATCTGCGAGGAGGGCAATCAGTGGACGCCGCCCGGCGCGAAGGCAGGGGCACCTGCGGAAGGGGATGACGCCGCTGAGAAGCGTGATCGCTTTACTTCGAGCAGCGGCTCTGCAGCGCAGCATGGCGCAGGCATTTGGACGCCCCCATCGCTTGAAAACGATGGCGGGGGCAGGCGCGCGCCACGGCCGCCCGCGCTTGCTCCGATGGGCCGATCGCACAGGATCTGTCATCTAGCGCGGGGGAACCTGCAGCAATTGCTCAGGCGCCGGCTGCGCGCGCCAGGGACATTGGCCAGCCTGGCTGCGCGGCTGCCAAGGACAGCAGAGGGCCCAGCTGCGTGGCCGCTGCAGCAAATTAACGCTCATCGCATCATTATCAGTCTCGTGCACTCGTCATTGAAGACGTACGGACAGCTTGCGCTGAACTCCGAGCTCGTGCCTAAATGGGCGGTCTACTCTCGGGGGATTATCAATTGCTGCGAGTGGAGACGTCCGCTGACTGGCACGTTAGCTTGCCTGGAAAGCGGGCAGGGCCACATTGTCAACGCATCCAATATGTGATGGCTAAGGTTCGGGCTCCACGCGTGTCTATTGCACGTGCGGGACCACCAGGATACTTTTGGGAAACAGTGTCCCGTGCGAAATGCCATCGGGGATCTCGACTCGCAGGTCATGCGTATGCGACGCTGCATTTTCGGTTTGAATTACGACCGTTCAAGTAAACTGCCTAGCGGATCGCATCTGCAAGTGGCAACTACCTACGCGCGCATCCCAACCAATTTGTGGAGATGTACGCGTCAAGCTGCGGGGGGCCCTGGCCAACTTGCCGAGCGCGAATTGGACTGGCGTGGCCAACGCGCTCAGAAGGCATGATGGCGCAAAAAAACAGTAGCTATCCGGACCGCGAGATTGATAGATCAAATGGATAACCACGAAACAAAGAGAAACCACGCGAGCGCGGTGCACCTCAGCATTCACACGAGTGGGTAAAGGAGCTCAAACTTACGGTCAGTCTCCAAAGAATGGCCTTGAATGGGGCCATGTCGCAAGACGGGCAACGATGGTCCTGGGCGGCAGTCAGATTATACAAGACATCAAGATCCAGGACCAGCCTATCGGGTACAAGTACAATGCGCCGTTGCCGAAGGGCGCAACCGACATTCGTACTCGGTTATACAGGGAGCCGCCAGAACCGGCTCTCATCGGACAAGGGGACCAGCGACCACGCCCGAGGCGAGTTGCGTTCGTCGATGACGATCGCCCCCCCCCCCCCCCCCCTTTTGTTCGATTGCGCGTGGCCGCGTGCTCCCTTCTATTCCCGAATTTCCGACGCTAAGCTCACCTGATATTGAACAAGAGACAGCAGCGTGCACTATACAGACGCCCCCCCCTGACTCCAGCACGGAAAGCGATGATGAAGAGGAAACTGTCATCGCATTACTTGCGGAGTTACCTGCTGAATCGTACGCATATGTCTTTTCCATAATCCCAGCGCTATGCTATGGACGACACAACAAGTTGACATGTTGGAATTGTGGAGGAAGTGGTGGCGCACCGCAGGTAGCAATCAGCCGAGGTCTGTCTTCGGGGGGAAACTTAGACGAACGCTCATATGTTGACCGTGGAAACAAGGATGTCCAGGACACAGCGATGCGCTAGCTCGACGCGTGCTTCGTCAGTGTTGTCATACTACACCCCAACTGCAGAACGATTAGACTACCTTCACGTTTTGACTCCCAAGTCAACTACGATACTTGACATGAACACCACAGAGAAGATCTTCCACATATCAAGTTCTGTGGAAAAGTTGTCATGCGTCAGAACGACCTTCGACGATTTTACTCACGAGAACAACCAGTGGGTTTTTGGGTGGGTCAGATACCA